CCGTCCGATTTCCTGAATTTAAGATTAATCATTTTGTATGAGTTTCTTGGATGACTTTGACTTATGAGAATTGAAATACAATTCAAAAATCAAGTCTTTATCCAAGCCCAAAGCGGTGTATATGTCTATATATATATACACACACACATATGTTTATACTTTATACAAGCAAACAAATTGGAACAGATCTAAGACAAATCAAGAATTCACAAAGAACTAACTAATGAGACACAACAAGATCATGTCCCTAGTCACTGTTTCTGCTACTTGGAGAGAAGGTGAAGATTCATTGAATAATTTAAGGATTATTTGGTACGTAGTGTTTTTTAATGAGTGACAGATTTAAGGAAATGCAGAGATAACTGATTCGGAATAATCCCACAAATAGAAACTTATCCAAACATTCTTATCAACAGAAACTATCAAACACATAGGCATTTGGAATAAGGAAAATTGAACATTGTGTGCTTGATAATTAATAATTAATAATTAACTGCATTAGCTCTTCTATGTTCTGCCTATGTGAGATGTTTAGAGGAGATAATTGAAAACAAACTAACCTTCGATATTATTTTGATGAGCAGTGAGTTCGAGATGTCTATCACAAAAAATGCAAAGGATGTCGTTTGCAAATAATGTCTTTGAGGGCCCACCCACAAGGTGAGTTTGTCTTTGATCCAAAACACTTTTGAGTTTCTATTTATAAACTCTCAGTAACAAAATAGAGATTGAAGGTATGATTCGACCCTCTTTGAATTTTTTGTTTTTATTTTGAACTTCATAGTTAAGATATCTCTAGACACTCTAAACTCATAATGATATGTCTAAACTCTCTGTATCGAAATATTTGGTGAGACTGAAGATTTGATCCAACACTTGGTCTCTGTTTAAGCAATTGGCTTTTAAAGAAGGGAAAGAGCAAGAGAATCCAAGTCTCGTGGAAATAGGGAAGCAAATTATGAAGGAGTGTGCAAGAGTTCCTCTAGCCATAAGGGTTTTGGGAAGCCGTAACACGGAAGAGTGGTTGACTTTTAGAAATAAAGATAAGACAAAAATAGCTCGAGAGACAAAAATTCAACCAATATTGAAGTTGAACTATGATCACCTTTCCTCGTATATAAAACAATGTTGGCATTTTGTCGTTTATATTCTAAAAATCATGTGATTGATAAACAAAAATTGATCTAAATAGTGGACTGCACATGAATTTATTCACTCGTCAAATAAAAATCCATGACATAAAAGATATAGGAGATTTGTAGTTTATGAACTTATTGTGGAGATCATTCTTATGGCACAATCACCAAAATAGTTGAAGACCAGGTTAAAAGGCCCAATTCTGCCGGTCTGTTAGGTCTTCTCATGTTCCTGGCCCAATAGTTCAAACAAACCAATGGCTCAGCGACAACTTCAATTATCATATGAAAAGATTGTAAAACAAAGGCCTAGATTGTTATCCTTCGACCTACCTGAAAATTTATTTAATATTTCATTATGCTTAATACTAATTTTATTAAATTGATTCAGAGAAGTCCTAAATTTCACTTTTGAATCCATAATTGATTTGAAGAAACAAGTTCCGCATGGATGTATTAGGGCTATAAATAAATTACATCACCATTTGAGCTCAAATAAAAATAAAAAAAAATAAAAAAAAAAAAACAAAAAAAAAAAAAACATTGATGGTAAGAGTTTGGGATGTTGAACTCGTTTTTAAGAAGAGAAATATACTGACGCACATACTTTTTGTTCTTATGGAGGTTTAAATTCTTAACCTTCTACTTTGGAAGGTAAAAATATAAAACAAAGGCTCCACAACTAACTCATTTATCTTGATGAGTTATGCTTAAATCTTACTTTAGATAATGATAAATTAATTTAAAAAAAAATTATAATTACCATGTTAATGAGTTCTTTCTCAAAATCCTAACAAGGTTAAGCTTTGTTAATGTGCCAGTATTTCAAGTATTTTACAACATCAGTTTAATAATTTATTTTAAATTGAGATATTGAATATAAGTTTTTGAGTAAAGTACAGCCACACCCCTTGAGGTTTGGTAAAAGGACACTCAGAGGAAATTTACCTATTTTTTGGACAAAGACACCCCCTGAAGGTTAAAAAACGGACAAAGACACCCCTTTACATGAAAAATTGACCAAATTACCCTTTAACAGTTTAGGAAACTTTTTTAACTTTACAATTTAATAAATTGGACCAATCTACTCTCATGAATAATTTATGCATAAAAAAAAAGTAAAAAAAAAACTTTACATTGTTCACTCTTTTTTTTTTTTTTTAAATGTCCCAACTTCTTAAAAATGTAAACATCTAAAATGATTTTTTGATTCAATACATATATTTCAAATAAATTATATTTTGTTATTAATTCTTTTCTTTTTCTTTTTTATTTTTAAATTAAAATGCTTAATTCTTTCATCTAAAAAAGTTAAACTAATCACTTTTCCTTAAAACTAAAAAATATGGTACCATTATTACTTTATGCATCTTAAATTATATATCAAATATTATGCATTTCTCAATATAAAAGAAAATAGGTACCAATATAACTTTATGCATGCCTTTGTTGTGTATTTTTTTTTTTGGGAAATGCATAATAGTTGATATATAATTTAAGATGCATAAAGTTATATGGTTTAAATTTTTTAGACGAAAGAATTAAGCATCTTAATTTTAAAATAAAAAAGAAAAAAAAAGAAGTAATAACAAAATATAATTTATTTGAAATATATATATTGGATCAAAAAATCATTTTAGACATCTATATTTTATAGAATTTAGGACATTTACAAAGTAAAAAAAAAAAAAAAAAACAATATAAAGTTTTTTTTTTTTGTTACTTTTTTTTTTTATGCATAAATTGTTCATAAGGGTAGATTGGTCCAATTTATTAAATGGTAAAGTTAAAAAAGTCTCTTAAATGGTCAAAGGGTAATTTGGTCAATTTCTCATGTAAAGGGGGTGTCTTTATCCATTTTTGAACCTTGAGATGGTGTCTTTGTCCAAAAAATAGGTAAATTTCATCTAAATGTCTTTTTACTAAATCTCAAAGGGTGTGACTGTACTCTACCCTAAGTTTTTTAAGTGTATGTGTGACCAAATTTGGGGTATATTATTATACATATAATCCATCCTTATTAGCAATTTATCATAATATCAACATGGCTTGTAATTCATGGGTTTTTTTTTTTTTTTTAAAGGTAAAAGTAATTCATGGGTTTTTCAAGAGTCATGTAACCAAAAATAGACTTCTTGCAACTCTTTTTGACTCATTGGACCAGAACCCATTCCTGATTCTCCACAGACCAGAAAAGTCATAAACTCATCCCCACCGTCGGATGGCAAATTTTCAGAGATGATGGAAGACCAAGTCAGCATTCCAAACAACGTGAACAGAGTATGACAGCTCCCATAGGCCATAGCCGTCAAACGAAAAGCACACGCCGTAACCGCGGCTCACGTGCCCGCAAATGGCAGACCATCATACGTCACGTGCCAATTACAAACGTTGTGGGGATTGAATTCCGTACGAAATATCAAAAACCTGAATCAATTTAGAGGAAGATTCATTGAATGACTCAACAGTCAACACAAGCACATTGTCCATAATACCCCCAACAATTTTGTTTCAGTGGAACCCTTTTAACTAAAGAAAACAAAAAAAAAAAAAGCCAGTCTTTGGACCTTGTATGAAATGCCTACACAGTAATTCTTGAACAGTGAACAATAATAGTTCAGATATTCATAATAAAATAAATGAGTGAATTCTCTTTTTAACAAGTTATGAAAGAAGAAGAAATGTTAAAAGACAATGTATACTATTAAATTCATAATTCCATTGTCTATTAAATTCATAATTCCATTGTTAACATGACTATCTCATTTCCAACAAATTGAAATAAAATAATATAAGATGTAGATAATGTTTTCTTTTCCCTAGACTCTTATAAAAAGTATTACTATTAATCAAAATTCTATATGAAGATTTAGTTTTGGAACTTGGGATGCACATGATAAATTCGTCTCGTGTACTGTTAACATGAATATGCGTGCGCGTGTAAAATATTACAAAGTGTGTAATTGAGAATTAGAAATAATGTGAAATCAAATAAAACAAATCAACCATGATTTGGTTAATAATATTTGTTGTCTCACTCAAAACCTTGATGGAAAGGATTGTCCAGTTGTCGATTTGTTTTAATTCATTTATAAAAGATTATTGGAATTCAAAATTTTACAGAATTAATTGCCAATAACCACTATAAATTTAAGAATCTCCAATCCTATTATAGCTTGGACAAAAATCCAATGACACTTCTGAATATCAACGATTTTCACTAAAATAAAAAGATGAATTAGTACCGCAGTACAAACCTTTTTTATATTATTAGTATTTATTATCTAATTTTCAGTTTTATATAAAAAAGATCGTTATTTTTTACAGTCTTTGAATATAACTTAGGAACTCACATAAAAAATTCAAAAAATATCAAATTATTCTTTCATTATGATAAAAGATTTCAATAACTTTATATTTTGACATAAAATATTATTAAAATGCAATGTATCATTTTTCATACCAATTTCATAATTTAAAATTTTACAAAAGTAAATAAATTTTTTTTTTTTTTTTCTGTTAATGACATTTCATTAGGTTTATTCTTAGGTACTATTATATAGTATTTACAAAAAGAAAAAAAGAAAAAAAAAAAAAGCAATAGAGTCTTTTGATTGATATAATTTTTTTTATTAAATTACATAAAGGTATGAAAACCATTTCAGAGTTTTATAAGCAGGTAAAAGTAATAAAAGACCAGCATGTCTGGAACCTGTAATTATAGGATATTTGTCACAGCACGAGAAGTAAATAAAGAAAGGTTTTTTCCGTTATTTTAGGTATTTGTGTAGGACAGCCGCGTAATTTCAATATTTCTTTTGTCCGGCCGGTTAGCATAAATAATAAGAGGAGTTGGAGATTCTCAGAAAAAAAATCATCCAAGACGAAGAATTAAGCCTGAAAATCTCTCTCTCTCTCTCTATATATATACATATACACATATATACATATATCTAAATATTATACCGAAATTGAAAGCGTGTTTGACTCTTTCTTCGAAAAATTAGAATTAAATTTGTAAATTTTCTTCAAAAGTATACATTTCTATTTTCCAGAACTTAAACCCCTTTCTCTTCTTTTTATTATTTTGGTTGGCACCTTTCTCTACTTTTTATGAAGATCAAAGTTTTAATCAGATCTCTATAAATTTGTTCATACTGAAATTGATTTCAATTTCTCACACATCTTATCTGCTTTATTTCCTTCACATTCCTTTCTTTTAGGTTTTCTTCCCAACTAATGATTCATTGTGTATATATGAATCACAATCTAGGGTTTTAGACAAAAATTTATACAATCAGTGTATTTTAGGTAGCTTTGTTCTTAGGTTTTTTTGATTTTTTTTTGGATAATTCAGATCTGAAAATTTCAAACTTCAGAGGTCTGTTTTCTAGAAATCATGGCGGTTCCGTCAATAGCTTTATATGCGAGCCCGTCGGGTAGCATGTGTGCCGCACAAAACTCTTGCCAGATCAATTCACATGCGTCCTGCGATTTCGATTTGAACGGACGACCTTCGTTCTCGTCGCCGTCCACTGCTTCGCCGTCCCAAAAGCCGATCGTTGGCGGGCTTTCTTGCCTGTTTTCGTCGCCATTGGTAAAACACGCATCGTCGTCAAGCTATTCCGGTAGCGGCGAGGAATTGGGGTCGTTGTGGCACGATAGAGGTGAAGAATTGGGTAGTTCTGTTTGTTACTCAAAGTACCCTTCGTTGGGTTCGTCTCTGAAAAGAGATCAGAGTCCGGTATCGGTGTTCCAAGGACCAGTTTCGTGTAGTAGTAGTGGGGTGGGTTCGTCGATAAGTTCACCGATGAGAATTGGGCGCGAGAGGAACGGCGGGGATGTGAATTTTAATTGTTCAATACGGGCAGGGGCTAGTGGATTGTTTAATGGGTTTTTGCGACAGGCACTGGGTTCTTGTATTGATTATGATCCCCCAAGTTTGCAAGTACAGGGTGGTTCCATCGATGTAGATTCATCATCTATTATAATGGATGAACTTACATTTAATATGGAGGATAATTTTAGGGATTCCCGTTCAGAAACATATGCTAAAGATTTGCTTTTGGGTGCACAATTGAGACACAAGATATTCTGTGAAGATTTTGTTGTTAATGCTTTTTATGAAGCTGAGAAAGCTCACAGAGGGCAGGTGTGTGTGTATATTTGAATTTTTTGTAAATTGAATTTCTGGTTTAGAATTGGATCTTTGTATTCAGAATTTTTTGCATGGTTTTTGTAGATGCGGGCAAGCGGGGATCCTTATTTACAGCATTGTGTAGAGACGGCGGTTTTGCTTGCAATGATTGGTGCTAACTCCACAGTAGTTGCTGCAGGGCTTCTACATGACACACTTGATGATTCTTTTATTGCTTATGATTATATTTTTGGAACATTTGGAGCTGGGGTTGCTGATTTGGTTGAAGGGGTAAGAGGCATCAATTTTGATTTAATTATTTGTTATTGAATGCTTAAGATTATTAACTGTTGTTTGGGTTTGCTAGTTCAAAATTGGTCTATGATATGGGGATTGTATAATATAATATCAATGAGCTCTGCTAATTTTATAATCTAAATTAAAATTTAGTATCAATTATGTACAAAACTTTTTATTCATGTTATTTTTAGTTGAACTTTGAATGAATTGGATATGAACCAAACTTCAATAACTCGAAACTTGGACTCGACTGGAGATTGAGTTGTGTTAACATGAAGACTCAATCAAGTAAAAAAGTCAGGACTAGGTTGTATATGTTCTGTTATATGTATAAATATATATCGTGTATAAATATATACGTGGTCAAAACATTTTGGTATATAGTAAGTAAACTGAAAGGATTGGCACTTGAGCATAAAGATCATAATATGACATACTACACATAGAAATAGTATTTGACATGATTTTTAAATTTGAAATATCAAGTATTATGGTAAATATGATGTCCTGAGACTTGCTTGTATTTTGGGTCACTCAAAGCAGCCAAGCACTCACTTTATCTTGGAGGGTGAAATGAGTCAACTATAACTCGGATATATCTGGGTTTTTATTATTTGATTGATATAGTCATTTCGGCTTTACTTGACAGAGTCAAATTATGTTTTTTAAAAATAAAAAAGTATATGGACTATTATATGTTCTAAAACAATCACCTAAATTAGTCAAACATGTATGTATGGCATTTGTTGTTTTTTGCCTTGCCTAAGCTATTTTGCCAAGGTTGCTTTTGACAAGCCTTTACTGGGTCTTCAGTGAAGACGGGAGGGAAGTGGGGGTGGGCAATAAAATTATTGTGTGTTAACCGTAAAAGTGATTTTTTCTAATTTTAATGAACATCTATTACGGTACACTTCAGCTGAAGTTACAGATGGTGTAATTAGTTTTTTGTTTTTCGTCATTTTTCTACTGCACTGAAAGCTAGATTGGCTCTAGTTTTATCGATCTTTTTTCAAGTCTCTTCATTTTTTTTTTTTTTTTTTTTTTCCGGTTCCAAAATCCTTCAATATTTTGCGATATAAAATGCGTGATGCATGCATTCCAGAAATAATAATAATAATTGGTGGCACAATGAACTTCTTCTTTCTGCACTTGATGAATCAAAACCTAATAAAGCATGACATGAAAGATAGGAGCATCAAGGAGCAATGACCATTACACTTCAGGAGACCAAACAAATAGGAAATGCATGTTTTATGCCCTTACATGAGTAATTCACGTCAATCGTACTTATGGAAGTGACTAAAACCTGCTGCTTCTGAAACAAATTTTGTTTTCTCATCTCTGCTCCATGAAAGAAACAGTTGCTGCACTTGCGATTACCTCATCTACATTTTAACTAACGCTAAACAATCTCTAAATTAACTCTAAATCATTTGCTTGTTTCTTTTCAGTGGATTGAAGAGATTAACATAAAAATAAACTCCAAATCTTCCTATTTCTTCCTTGATTTTTGATTGCAACTTATTTTTTCTCTTTAAGGTAAAATTTGTAGAATTAGGTTCATATATATGTGAATCATTTGATTGTCCTACTGATTTGCCATTACTTCAAAACTGGTATAGATGCCTTACACTAGCATTTTGCTCCAGAGGTTGATTAGAATATGACCTTTTGTAGAAGATATATAATTGTCAAGTACATGAACTTTTCTTTTCTGTAAAAAGGAAATAAATGCATAAATATTTTCGGGTGCTCATTAGTTTGTGAAGTTTTATATTTTTCCATATCTCTTTGGTGGTTTTATTTTGGTAACTGTTCTGATGAGAAGATTTAATCATTATAAATTGGTAATACAATTTGGCATTTTTAGGTGTCTAAGCTAAGTCGACTGAGCAAGCTTGCACGTGAAAACAATACAGCAAGTAAAACTCTTGAGGCAGATCGCCTCCACACCATGTTCCTTGCGATGGCAGATCCCAGGGCTGTCCTCATAAAACTGGCTGATCGATTACATAATATGATGACACTAGAAGCATTATCGGTGGCCAAGCAACAGAGGTTTGCTAAAGAAACTTTGGAGATATTTGCTCCTTTGGCCAACCGATTAGGGATTTCTAGTTGGAAGGACCAGCTAGAAAACATCTGCTTTAAATATCTCAATGCAGATCTGCACAGAGAACTCTTTGAACTTGCAAAGTCTTTTGATGAGGCAGTGATTACTTCTGCTGTAGAGAAGTTAGAGCAAGCACTTAAAGATGGAGCCATTTCTTACCATGTCCTGTCAGGGAGGCACAAAAGCTTGTATAGCATCTACCGCAAAATGTTGAAGTAAGCTCTCTCTCTCTCTCTCCAAACTTTGCAAATGTACTTGGAGAGGTTAAGAACTTCAAGGAAATGTTTTGTATATGGTTGATCTTTATATTATCAAAATTCTCTTCAAGGTAGTGATGGTATTAAATCTTGTGTAGAAAAGGGCTGCCCATAGATAAAATCCATGACATTCATGGGCTACGATTGATCGTTGAAAATGAGGAAGACTGTTATAAAGCGTTGAGAGTTGTTCATGAATTATGGTCTGAAGTACCTGGAAAGTTCAAGGACTACATAAATCATCCCAAGTTTAATGGGTATGTTATATCTCAAAGTGATGGCATGTCATTGACAATATTTTACTTTTCTTTTCCCTAAATCTGATCTTAATTTCCAGGTACCAATCTCTACACACAGTAGTTATGGGAGAGGGCATGGTTCCACTAGAAGTTCAGATTCGGACAAAGGAGATGCATTTACAGGCTGAGTTTGGATTTGCAGCTCACTGGAGATACAAGGAAGGTGGTTGTAAATATTCTTCTTTTGTGCTTCAGATGGTGGAGTGGGCTCAGTGGGTTGTTACCTGGCACTGTGAGACAATGAGTAAAGATCGACTGTCCACTGGCTACAAAAATTCTGTTAAGTCTCACTGCGTGTTCCCTTCTCATTCTGAAGATTGCCCATATTCTTATAGACCTCACTCTGGCACTGAAGGACCTGTCTTTGTCATCATGCTTGAAAATGATAAGGTTTGTTCCTGAGAAATTATCATAATTTATATGTCTGTTTTCATTAGATCCAACTAGTTCTAAAAAGTAAAATATTTAGGGTCCTGGTTTGCCACTTGCCCGATTTGTCAGTTTGGCTATGCTCTTTTAAACACGGCCTTGGTGATTTAGAGTTGTTTCTACCTATTTAGACTTGTTAGATTGAGCAGTTTTTTTCCTACCAGTGTGCATCAGGCGTCATTTGGTTCTTTTAAGACGTGCATTTTGCGCAAGTCCTTTGTGCCCGTGCCCTTTCTTCTTTCAGTGTCAATAATAGTTTAAAGAAGAAAGTATAAAGAGTCAGCATGGTGGTATATTGCTATTTTCAATGCTTCATTATATATACACCTTAATATACATGCAATTGCAAAGCTTTATCTTGTTTGGCACTTTTAGTTTACGTGGTCAATCCGTTGGTTCAGTAGCTTACAGAACTTGTCACTGTGTTTGGGTGCTACAGATGTCAGTGGAGGAGTTCCCAGCAAATGCAACAATGCTGGACCTATTGGAAAGAGTTGGTCATGGAAGCTCTAGATGGACACCTTCTGGATTTTCTTTGAAGGACGAATTGAGACCAATGCTGAATCATGAACCTGTGAGTGATCCCACCTGCAAGCTGAAAAATGGGGATGTGGTGGAGGTAACTCCATCCATACTTGACAAGTCATTGACGGAATACAGGGAGGAGATCCAGCGTATGTATGATCGAGGCCTCCCTGCATCAAGCACTGAGCCTGCCGCTAGTGGTTTGGTTGGCTGGAGGTGACCCTTCCATGGTTTTCTCTTTTTTATAATAATACAACACGAAATGAAATCTGATATTCTTGTAAATACGTGACAAATATTTGTATAGAACAGCTTTATGGCTCTGGTGCGAATAACTGAGAAAAATTGGATTCAACAAAGAGCAAAAAGTTTGATTATACTGCTAATATTGTTTATGCAGCCTCTTCTTCCAGTTTGGTTTTCCTGTTTTAAATTATGAATGTCCAATGGGAAGCTCTGTGAGAGAAGATTTCTGTTTGTTTCTTTTACCTTCTTGGAACAAGTTGCCTACTGATTTGAAAATAAAAAAGGGTGTTAGCATTGGATTCTTGGAGGTAACAATACTGCAGCCATAGTTTCTTATCGGGTTTCATAAGACTAAGATTCCACACCTAGTTGTCATGTATGTATGTAGTATAAGATATGGTTGGGCTTAAATGAAGTTCATGGTTGTGCAAGTTGATATTTAATTGTGTCTACAAATGCATTTATTGTTTGAATTCCTTCCCAATTAAGGAAAAATTGCTTTATGCTGCATTATGTATGTAAAGCAACGGAAATACACAGGATGTCAATATACTTGAAATAGGAGAACTATCTGCTGAATAAACATCCTTCTTTTAACAGTATAAAGCTGCTAAATCTATAAACCTTGTGACTTTCTTGTTCATTCTCATATCATTGTACTTCGATGCAAAACCATAGCACTTCCAGATATACTTGAAAAACCCTCATCTGAGACTTGAAAAACCCTCATCTGAGACTACTGGATCCAAGGCTGGATACTCGTTGACGATCATTATTTAGCATTAGGATCAACATTCACTTCTACCGCAGTTTCTTCCTCTTCTTCTTCTTGGTTGGCGTGGTTCTTTAGGATGTCAAGTTTATAATTTGGGCTGATTAATGTACCCTGAACAGGCGGAAGTGGGATTCCATGCTTAGGTGGCTTTGGCAATGGGATACTGTTTACTCTCCAAGCCGACTGTAGCATGACCTGAAATGATTGGTTGCTTAGGTGGTTTGTACATTTCATATCAAATACGAGTTATATCAAAGAATTCAAACATACAATATGAAAACACATCCACACACTGTTTCTATTCTAAAACATTTAAGTCTTGTGACTGAAGAACAGTTTATGCTGGTGGAAACTAGTATAAAACATTCAAATAATTTGTACAGATCCAGAAAACATTCAAACTAGTGAAATTTACCTCTCTAGATTGGGATGGGGGCCGGGGGAAGCTGGATTTGGCTTTAGACTGAATAGCAAGATTGAGATCATCGCAGTCGATTGCAGTCTTATCAGCATGCTCTGAGTAAACCTTTGTATCATTCAACATATTAACATTGTACCTGTGATAAAATTTTTAGAATTTTCGACACCCATTGATCTTAGAAGTTCCTTAACAATCTTTTCACTACTCGGCAAGTTCTCACCTCCCTCCGCCATTTCCTCTCCAATGTTTCCTACCTGTGTCAAAAGGGGGGAAAAAAAAAAAAATAGCATTTCTCTGAGCAGCTAGACATTCAGCAGAACATGCTGATATTATGATTGACCTAAAGTATATATACTACAGCATTTTCATGAAACCTATTCTATTTCCAAAACTAAGAGGTTTATTTTATTATTTTACTTTGCTTAATGAAAGTTGTAACAAGAATTGTTAGTCCTCGATCGTTAATAAGGATAACATTCCCTTCCCATATATCACCAAATAAAAGATACTTCTATTTATTATTATTATTATTATTATTATTTCTTTGTTTTGCTAAGAAAAATCGATTAAACTGTTGTGGGTGAAAATGGAGTTGCTCTTCTAAATGGAAACAAGGATGGGACAGAGCTCCTGACCTCAAACTCCTCCTTTGTCATGACTACAATGTCAAATCAACATTCTAATAGGGAAGATCAATATAATTTCTGAAATTATATATAGGAAAAATTGGTGTAATCTTATTTAAATTCACAAAAATGGGTTTAATTCAGCTGTTAAAAAAAAAAACAAACAAACCCAGTCAAATCAGCTGTTATAAATTAAGAACACAAATTTTCTACATATTACATCAAAACATATTGGCCAAGCATATATTTCCATTTAATAAAAGTCCAAATAGTATTACAATGACCAACACCACCAGATTACATTTTTTTTTATCGAAAGGTAACACCACCAGATTACATTATTCACCTAGTACATTAAAGTGATGGAGCTAGTGTCCGGTGTCCTCCTATCTCCATAAGAAGTGTTGAACAGAGTCTTGCCATGAAAGCACGAGCATAAGCATGCCCAAAACCCCAGCTAGTCCCCAAGACGAACCCCCAATCCTAAGCACCCACGAAGGATCATTGGAACGAGGCAATACTGTAGCTCTCTGATTCGACGACAAAGATGAATAAGAAGAAGAAGAAGATGATGATGAGCTACTAGTGGTTTTGATGGCAATTATTAGGCCTGCAAGAACCATAGGCAGAACAAATCCTGAACCCCATCTTGTATGATCATAATAATGTGTATCGTTGGTTCGCGTCGTGTACAAGGGTGAAAGCACCACCGCAGAGGCCAGGGCTAGTGCCATAGCCACTGCTCTCCTGCCGGAAGAGTTTTGGGTTGTATAAGCAGCAGCATAGGTGGTGACCATTTCAGGGACTTGAATTGAAGTGTCAGAGGTTGGTTTTCTTGTTATATATATATATATATATATATATTATATGATGCATTTACAAGACAGCCAACAACTTGATAGTGAAGAATGGAATGAGCATGGTAGAGGATTTATAGATGGAATTAAGAAGATAATGTGGTAAAGGGATCTAGTTGGAAAGGTGTAATGTAATGACAAAAGTGATTCATAGACAGCCGTCCAAAAAGCAAAAGGAGATGAAGGGAGATTAATTGGTGAACACATCATGTAGAAGGTGTGAAAGGAAGGTAATTTAAACTTCACAAGTAAGGAATCTTTTAAGTGTGTGTTTGGATAGACACGGAGAGAAAAGAAAAAAAATGACAATTTTAGTTAGGTGGGAAAAGAAATGATAGTATAATTTTTATTCGTATTTGGATAGATAGGGGAGGAAAAAAAAATGAAAGAATAGTTATTTTTGTTTGAATAAGATATAGGAGAGAAAATAAAAGAAAGGATAGTGACCAAATTACTGTCCTACCATTTCATAACTACTTCACACATTATCCATTTCCAAAATCTCACATAGGATATTTTGGAATGTTTCTTTAGTTCAATGCAATGGGTTTAGTTCAATGCAATGGGTAAAAACAAAAGTAAGAAAGAAAAATAAAAAATAAAAAAATAAAATAATGGATGAAAACAAAATTAGGACATAAATGGAATAATTCTTATATTGATTTGTGGAGAGTATTTTTGGTATTATCAATTAATCACTTACTCCACTATCCTATCTCTTCCTATCTTCTCAAATTAGGAGAGAAACCAAATGAGGTATAGGGAGGGAGCTATTCCTACCTATCCTTTCTTTTCTCTCCACTTAACCCACCCACACACAATCCCACCCCATCCTTTTTTTTCTCTTCTCTCCCTATCCCTCCAAATCAACCATACCAAACACACCCTAAGTCTATATCAACAGTGTGATCATATTTGGCCTTTAAAATCAAGGGCGGTACCCTTAGTGGTCATTTCTCGCTTTTCAAAGTTAATTGTCTAGGTTCTAGTCCCAGCAGTGGATGGGTGAGCATATTTTCTACCAAGGTTATAAAAAGAATAAGAAAGAATGGCATTGAAAATGCTCTCCCCCTGAGGAAATCCTTTTTCCCTTATCATTTTTTTTTTCATTGACAAAAAACACACTTGCTCATTTATTTCAATAGAGACTTATTTTCATACATTTCACTTTAAATTAGGTAGAGGAATATATGCTACTTTGGTATTCCAACATTTATAGTGAGACGTACTACTAATAACTTGCAAAAAAGGGGGACAGAAATTAGGTTTTAGATTATGACGGGATGCATAACGTGCAGTTTTAAGTTTGAAACTAGTCCATTTGTGTAAAAATATAAAACATCTATTCTGGGATTTTCCTCTTTAAAAGACTTAAAAGAGGAAAATCCTACTATTACAGTTTTTGGTATTCCAATATTTATAGTCAGATTACTAAGAACTTGCATAAAAAGGGGACTGGAATTAGGTTTTGAAGTCATCATAGATTATGACCGGGGTAGAGTCAGGATTTAATTTCAGGGGGCGTAATATACTTGACTAATTTTTCTTCTTTTTTTATTTTTATTTTATTTATTATTATTATTTTTTTCAAATAACATGATAAATTTAGTTTTATTTTGAAATGAATGCATGAAATTAAACACATTGAGTTCATAAAATTACAACAATAAATGTAAATAAGAAGAGGGAAAAAAAAAAAGGTTACATACATCATATACAAGTGCAAAAAGAAGAATTTTAAGAAGTGAAAAAATAAAAAGAAGAAAAAAAAGAAAAGAAAAAGAGATAGAACTTTGAAGAGCGAAAAATTAAGATTTAATTGACTAAAGGGAAATAGGAATGTAACTTTTTTTTTTTATAAAAGGAAATGGGATAATTCCAAAAAAATGGTAATTTGGTGGCTAAATGCCAAAAAGGTGGAGTCAAACCCAAGTTTTCCAAATTAATAGAGTTTTATCAAATACTGACTTGGACATGGAAATTTATTGTAGATTTTCTTTTGATTCTCAAAATGCCTATCCTATTGTTGTGAAATTATACTACTACCATTATCAACTCTACTAATTAACTTCATAATTATACGTCTGTATCTCGTCATTACATATCACACTGTGTCTTTGATTTTCATTACTTTTGTTTATATTTTTTTTCCTAATGTGTGGTTTTTATTCAACAAATAAATTACATGAAAAAACCCTAGAAATTGGACCGAACATAAATAGGAAGAATTAAAAAAGTGGACATGAAAATTTATTGTAGATTTTCTTTTGATTCCCAAATTGCCCATCCTATTGTTGTGAAATTATACTACTACCCTTACCAACTCTACTAATTGACTTCACAATTATACATCTGTATCTCGCCATTACATATCAGACTGTGTCTTTGATTTTCATTACTTTTGTTTATATATTTTTTTTCCTAATGTGTGGTTTTTATTCAACAAATAAAACAAATAAATTACATGAAAAAAT